TCTTTGTTCATTGGAGAATATAGCCCTTGCTTATTATGTGTGTTGTAATTATTTCACCCACCGCTGTACTTATTTATTTTTGTTATGGTATGTTTTGCCACATTTTAATATTCAGAGTCAAATTAAGCAATCTTTTCTGTTGTAACTACTGAACTCACAGGTTTTTAATTAATGGGTCTCTTAACCTAACTTTCCAGGGACAAAGCTCTGGAGCAGATGTCCCAGTCCTACCCTTCTTATCTGTGCAGCTTTGTTGGTGTTTCATGCTACCTCGGTGTAGATTTAAAAAATCCAAAGACATCATCACAGTTTTCACGTATAAGCATAACCCGAACCCAGACTGAGGAAAATTTCTTCTGCCGTGATTGAACTTAAATGCCAAGCTTCAAATAGTACATAACAGTACACAAAGGTAATGAAAAGGAAGCATCTGCATCTGATTTCAGCACACATTATTCAGTCCTGTACTGCCCTACCAAGGTAAAAAACACACACACACACACACAAACTGCTATAAAAATGAACAAACCAAAACGACTCTTTAACAAAAAAGAAAAATTTGCATAGATGCTTAAAAATCTGCATAGATTTTTTTTTTAGGTCTACAGATCTATGCAGATTTTTCTTTTTTGTTAAAGAGTTTGCGCTATGTACCCCTAAAGTTGCATCTTACTTGTTAGGCTGCTTTAGAATACATATAAGGCATCACAGATAGCAGGAAGTGGAGGCACCAATCCTTGAAAAGCTCCGTGGAGTGCTGAAACCAACCAGCAGGCAAGAACACCCACTCAGTGACGCCCCAAACAGGAATGAGCCATATACTGCACTGCTCCCCAAGGTCCCATGATTATACATAAGCACTGGGCTGTAACTTAATGATTGCAACAAAACCCACAATTGTTTTCACCATGAAATTGGCTTCTAAATTTTAGAAAGGGAAAATTTGAAAATTTATATGCTAGTCATTTTATAATTTTCCCTAGCAAACTAATAAAACTGCCAAATTAGATGTAATTGTGGAGTTGATTTCATTTGCCCAGAATTATTAGGCTCGACAATGTTATTTGAGGCAATAAAACCTTCCTTCATCAAGCCAACATAGCACTTAGTTCTGTCATGTATCCGCATAAATTTTAAAAGGAAAGAAAATTACATAAATGGTGATTTAAGTTTTTAGAAATGTGTCTAATAAGAGATTTCTTTCATTATTATTTATTACTAACAATGGCTTTGTCTTAGAATGTTTTAAATATTTACTGCATGTAGCACTCCCTATATCCTGTTAAGTGGTTTACATGTGTTTTCATTTCATCATTAACATCTGAAAGCAACCATTATAAAGTAAAATTTTAAAGTTAAATAAATATTAAAATTTATAATCTGAGTTTTAGGCCAATAATCAAAAGAGGAATGGTTCCTTCCAAGAGACTGCCTTTTTAAAATGCAAAATAATTATTGGTTGTCACTACACTAACATTCATCTGCTTAAGCCCTAGTAGTTGTCAGTTTAATATAAGATGGTAATATGTATTTTTCATTGAGATTGAATTAGTCCAGGCTGATGAAATAAAGCACTAGGCTACATTAACTTACTTAGTAATAAGGTTCTTTACTGACATATTGTTAGCAGTAGCATATGTTAAAATCCGTATCGGGACAGCTTGCTTTTATCAGTTATTTGCATTAAAACCAACTGCATTATCAAACTGCATTATCAAACAGCATTGACTGAGATTCAAGCCTCCAAAACTGATATTAATTAATAATAAGCTAACATTTATTTAACATTTATTAAATGCTAGGTACTCCAAGAGCTAGCGATGACCTCATAAGGTAAGAAATATTACTATTTCCATTTTACAGATATGGGAAATTATGGCCCAGAGAGTTAAGGCACTTTGTACTCACACATCTAGTAAATGGGAAGAGCTGAAATCTCAACCAAGTCTGGCTCCAAAAGTAATACAGACAGTAACAATGAGGACAAATATGTGTAAGGACAACCCAACTCACCGATAGATATGTAGATCATAACAAATATTCCCACTGTTGCAAGCATTATATAACTGACTATCCAAGAAGAGAAAAATTACAAGCTGTTTGCTGAGCTGTGTAAGAGTGAAGGGTAGAGAGGGAGAACTTGAGTACCTTTACTTTATGAGTAAAAGCTGGTAGGAAAAGCAAAATTGTAGGAAAAAACTCTAATACCACAAATAGGTGGTAGAGGGAATTTGTATATTAATAACATTGGGTAGTCTTAAAACTAGCAATAAGATGATCAGATGAAAAAAAAACTGAGATTTTTCTGAGTGATCCAAAGTGATACAAAGAGATGAAAAGAAGCACATAATCCCAGGTTAAGCTTGTTAATGGTTCCAAAGGGGAAGCTGAGGCTTCACTTGGTGTGATCAATAATGGAAGCTACTAGAGAATTTAAAAGGGTGCTAACAGAGGCAATCGAAAATGGCAGAAGAGAAAATGACCTCTAATGCAAGCAAATAAGATTATCATAAAGTCAAAGAATCACATTTATTGATGAAGTAAGACTGAAGATGAATAGGAATTCAATAAGAATAGAAACAGCAGTCTGCACTGTCACAGAGAAGTATACAATATGAAGTAAAAATGTAAGCCTAGGATGGACTGAAAGTATGAAGACATCATTTAAGTGAACAAAAATAATAAACACAAGCTCCATGAGGCGAAGACTGTTGCACTCACTCATTTTGCTGTGGAATTAACTGATGATGAAGATGGATGCTTTGGTAACCTGGCTCAAACCCTTCTTCAAAGTTTGCTTAGAAAGGGTAGCTAGGAAAGGGGAGAGCTCTATTACTGAGAATAGAAAGTCTGAGAGTAAAATGGCAGAAATGATTTAAAAGCCAACAAAGATTAAAATACCATGATTGGCTAGAGTTAATTTTGAGACTCACAAGTCAGAGAAGACCTGTAGTGGCAGTACTTTAAAACCTAAATTCCCCTTGCAAACTCCAAAATAAGAACAGAAGTGGGAATGTAAACCTATGAATAGATATATTATGCATATTTGCTCTCAAATGGCAATTCTTTTTGAAACATGATCTATGTATGAGTCTTGTGGCATGATTCAAAACTAACTCCAGGATTCTCAACAGCTGGCTCCATCATGAATCTTTAAAAGAACTAAAATTTCTAAAAGAGCAGTTCAGAAATCATGCTAGCACAGAAAGTGATGTAATTCCTTTTTTCTTTTTTCATGGCTGAGTACAGTGTAAAAGCTACATTTACCAGAAGGGAAAAAAAACATTAAGTTAGCAGCCTTGAGTCACAGATAGCAGCAGTATTCACAAGCACTGTGGAGTTTAATACACCTCAGTGCTGAATGACTAATACAGGTCTGCCTGAAGCTGGTTGTGATTCCCCAGAGTAAGAATGGCATATTCATATTACAACTTGATGTCTGTGCTAGAAAATGGTCAAACCAAGAATGAAACACTGCACAGTTCTAGAGGATACCAAGCATTTTGTAGTCTGTTGTGTATCGCATCCCCTATAGTTGTATACTAACAGCCTGCCCACCCTAACCCAGCCATATTGGTTCTAACAGCTTATTGTGCTTGATCAAGACCTTGTGGGTTTACATGACAAATATATCATTCCTTCCTTGTTACCACTTTCTTAACTTTAAAATGGTCTAAAATGTCAAAAATATTCTGTCTTATCCAAATAAATATTCGTTTTATTAAAACAAGATTTAATTGCTGTACTTTGCACATGATCCTATCATGAATTTTCTTTTTTATTAACTGCGTAGAATGAGCTCATGACAAGAGTGTCAAACAGCACCTGATGACTAATGAAACACCCTGTGAAGTCCCTGAAATGTGATCACCACCACAAAAAAGCTAACTCCTCACCCCATTTCTGACTCAAGATAAAAAGTCTAACATACTGAAGGCAGCAAAGGTGAGTAATCTGTGGCATTTACAGAGTGACTCCAATATGTAAACAAAACTCATACTCATTCTCCAAATGTTAAAACGAGATTTAGCACAGCCAGGGGTATAGAATAATCAGGTCAATCCCTTACCGTATGTCAGCATTTCCCAAAATTTTGTCCATGAAATATTAAAAGGGCAAGTTTAAAATGCCACAACTCTCCATCTGGGAGCATCGCCATGCATATTATTAGCCTACGAAGGCTCTGGGAAGTCATGCAGCAAAGAAATTGGTTTTGTTAATCTAGCGTTTCCCAAAACTTACTTTTTTGTTTTGTTTGGTAAAACAGCAGTGGTATGAGAAGAGTTTGGGAAATGCCACTCAAAGATCACTATGTATACATGTATTAATTATTTGTAAAAAATTAAAATATAACATCTGAAATATCTTTGATGATTGCAGAGAATCTACTCAAGGAAATGCAGTGCCTCAGGGTCAACATGTGTTAGTTGATAGCTTTATTTGGTAAAATGACAAGGAAATATCATTTACTGTATATACGGTGATGCCAAAAATTAAGGACAAAAAGCCTGTTTTATAGTACTGTCGCTTGGCACATAATTCCGATAAAATGGATAAAAACATACCTATATTTGGGCTGACAGCATTTTAAATGCTCAGTAAGAACATATAACTGTACTTATTTTAAAACCAATGAATCAGAAAACAACTAAGTGCCTGACTTCAGAAGCTCATAACCTTAATAATCTCTCATGTTACTGACCACACTGAGATTATCTACTGATACCAAAACAATGGCACCTACTGAAGATTATTACAATACTTACCACATTACAAAAAGAATCCAGACCAATGTTATGTACATACTTAGTACATTCTGGATTAGACCAAGTAAAATTTAACAACAAGCTGAACAGCATTCTATAAAACAAAAAAAAAAGTCAGTTAGGCTAATTCTGTCTGTTTTTCTGTGCTAAGGACTCACAGTGAGAAAGAAGACTGTCTTGGAATTTGATGACTGAATCAAATCAATTCTTTATCTGAAGTTTATCTACACTTACCTTAAAAGAAGTTCTTTGGGCAACTTTTTGTTAATAAGGCCTTCATCATTATTTGAGAAAACCTAAAAGGTAAAGAAGGGAAACTGTAAAAAATGTTCTTCAATCAATTATTAAAAACTTATGTTTTTTAGGTCAAAGCAGTCCCAATCACTGTTCTAATTTCATGAAGCCACCATACCTCAATATTGATAGATACAAGACTAGTTTATGTCCTATCACCATTTCATAAAAATGGCAACACACAGCCATTTGTATACTACATTGTATTAGAGGTTCTAGCCAAGACTATTAGACAAGAAAAAAAATGGCATCTTGATTGGAAAGGAAGAAGGAAAACCAGCTCTATTCACAGACGACATAATCTGTATGTCATAATTTGTATATAGAAAATTCTAAAGAGTCACAAAAAAGTCTAGAACTAATCAAGAAATTCAGCAAGGTTGCAGGATACGATATACAAATATACATTTATATAAAAATAAATTATATTTCCATACATTAGCAAGGAACAACCTGAAACTGACATTAAGAAAATAATCACATTTACAACAGCATTAAAAAAGATAAAATATTCAGGAATAAATTTAACTAAGAAGTGCAAGACTTAGATACTGAAAACTTATACAAAACATTGTTTAAAAAAAATTTAAAAGACAAATATGCTTGCATCCCATATTCAAAAATTGGAATATTTAATAGTGTTAAGTTAGCAACATTTTCAAACTGATCCATAGATTTAATGAAATCTCTATCAAAATGCCAGCTGCCTTTTTCGAAAAACTGAAAAGTTGATCCTAAAATTCATATGTAAGTGCAAAGGATCTCGAATAGCCAAAATACAGTCATGCACTGCATAACATTTTGGTCAATGAAGGACCACATATACAATGGTGGTCCTCTAAGATTACAAAGGAGCTAAAAATTTCTTATTGCCCTAGTGACACTGTAGCCATCATAACATTGTAGTGCAATATATTAGTCATGTGCTTGTGGTGATGCTAGTGAGCAGTGTTTATAAAGTGTATAGTACTGTATGGGTAGTGTCCTAGGCCTTCTTCACATTCACTGACTCTCCCAGAACAACTTTAAATCCCATAAGCTCTATTCATGTAAGTTTCCTATATAGGTATGCCATTTTTTATCTTTTACACTGTATTTTTACTGTAGCCTTTCTATGTTTAGATACACAAATACTTACCATTGCATTACAGTATTCAGTACAGTAACATGCTGTATAGGTTTGTAGCCTAGGAGCGATAGGGATATAACATACAGCCTAAGTGGGTAGTAGGCTACACCATCTAGCTTTGTGTAAATTCACTCTGTGATGCTCATACAGTGACAAAAATCCCCTAATGACACAGTTCTCTGAATGTATTCCCATCATTAAGCAATGCAGAACTGTAATCTTGAAAAGGAAAACAAAGTTGGAAGAGTCACACTTCTTGACTTTAAAACTTACTGCAAAGTTACAGTAATTCAAACACTGTGGTACTGGTATGAGACATATAGTTCCTTGAAATAGAAGTGAGTGTCCAGAAATAAAACCTTATATTTATGGACAACTGATTTTTGACAAGGTTGCTAAGATAATTCAATGAGGGAAAGAATATTTTCAACAAATAGTGCCAGGTAAACTGGGTGGTTACACGTAAAACAATAAAGTTGGACCTCTACCTCACATCATATAAAAAATTAACTCAAAATGGATCAAAGATCTAAAGAAATATGAATTAAAACTATACCCTTAAAAGAAAATATAAGCATAAATCTTGGTGACCTTGGATTATGTAACAGCTTCTTAGATATGACAACAAAAGTATAACCAACCAAAGAAAAAATTGGACTTCATCAAAATTAAAAACCTCTGTGCTTCAAAGGGCATCATCAAGAAAGTGAAAAGAAAACCCACAAGATAGGAGAAAACATTTGCAAATCACATAACTGATAAAGAGGTTGTATCCAGAATATATGTAGAACACTTAAAATTCAACAAAAAATAAACCACATTAAAAGCGAGCATGTGATTGTAATAAACATTTCTGCAAAGCAGATACACAAATCACTAATAAGCACATAAAAGAAGTTCAACATCATTAGTCATTAAAGAAGTGCAAATCAAAACACAATATACTTCACAGCCACAAGGATGGTTAAAACCCACTAAATAACAACACATAACAATGAGAATGTGGAAAAATTAGAACCCTCATACACTGCTAGTTAGAACGTAAAATGGTAATAGCCACTTTGGATAACAGTCTGGCAATTCCTCAAAGGTTAAACAAAAAGTTACTATATGAATTAGCAATCCCAACCATAGGTAACTACCTAAGAGAAACAAAAATGTGTCCACACAAAAACTTGTACATGAATGTTTATAGCAGCATTATTCAAAATAGCCAAAAAGTGGAAACAACCCAAATGTCCATCAGCTGATGAGTAAAATGTGGTATATCCATACAATGGAAAACTATTCTGCAATCAAAAGAAATGAAGTACTAAAATACATTATAACAGGAATGAACCTTGAAAATATTAAGCTACATAAAAGACACACACACAAGGCCTACTATATGATTCCACTTACATTAAATATCTATAAAAGTCAAATCTATGGAAACAGAATATAGATTAGTGGTTGCTTAAGACTGGGGAGTGACTGACAGATATAGGGTATCTTTTTGGAGCTATAAAAATGTTCTTGAATTAGACAGTTGTGCTGAAGACACAACTTGGTGAGTATACGAAAACACATTGGATTGTACATTTTAAATGGGTGAAATTTACAGTACATGTGTAATAGCTCAATTTAAAAAATGAATTTAAAATATACCACAATCTACAAAAGCAAACTGCAGAAATGGAAATAGTGCCATAAACAGTACCCTATATTCAGTTTTTAAGTATTTTCAATGATAGTCTAGTGGTATATGTGAGATACTAACATCCATTAAAAACCTACTGTATTCCAAGCTCCAGTAAGCAATGTTAGAGAAAACAGCTAAATTATCTAATTAATATTTTTCTAATTCCTTGAAGTATAAAGTTAGGTTACTGATTTGACATTGATCTACTTTTTAATATAAGCATTTAAAGCTATAAATTTTCCTCTGATCACTGCTTTCACTGCATCTCATAAGTTTTGATATATTTTCATTTTCATTAATCTCGAAGTATTTTCTAACATCTTTTGTTATTTCTTCTTTCACCCATTGGTTAATTTACATATATTTGTATAATTTTCAGTTTTCCTTCCATTTTTGATTGTGGTCAGAGAAGATAATTTATATGATTTCTATCTTTTGAAATTTATTGAAATTTGTTTTGTGGCCTAACATGAGGTCTATCCTGGAGAATGTTCCATATGCACTTGAGAACACGATGTATTCTCCTGTTGTTGGGTGGAGTGTTCTATATATCTCTGTTAGGTCAAGTTGGTTTATAGTGCTGTTCAAATCCTATTTCCTTATTGATCTGCTGTCTAAATGCTCTGTTATTGAAAGTATGATACTGAAGTCTCCAACTGTTTTTGGGGGTGGTGGTGAATAAAAATCTTCACATATCTTAACAACCGTCAGAAGGATGAGCTTATTTTCTGTTACAACAAAGACCAGTGAGTCAATGTTACAAGACTTCAACTCAACACATGGAAAAGCTTCTTAATAATAAGACTAGCCCATACTAGAATGCTCTACAATTTGAAGTAGTGACACGGAGCTCCTGCAGAAACAACAGAACCAGAAATGTCAGAGAAAGGAATCCCTTCCTTCAGTGGGAAGCTTGAATAGGAAGGACCAAATCTAATTTATTGAGTCTACCATCCAGGTTCTGCTATGTACTTCGTTACCTTGGGCATGTCATTTAACTTTTCTATGCCATGGTTTCCTCTTTTGTAAAATGAGGAATAGTAAGAGACCTGCCACAAGGGTTGTTGTAAATTCAATGAGTTCATATATGCAAAACGCCTAGAATAGTCTTGGCAAATAGTTACACGCTCTGTAAATAATAGCTATAATGATGGCTGTAAAGTCTCCAAATATTGTAGAGCTGTCTGTTTCCTCTTTCAATTCTGTCAGTTTGCTGCACATAGATGGCAGCTCTGCTGTTTGGCCCATGTATGTTTATAATTATAACTTCTTTGGAACTGACAACTTATTAATATATAATTACCTTCTTTATCTCATTTTAATTTAAAGTCTATTTTGTATATTAGTACTATTTGCATGGAAAGTCTTTTTCCAACTTTTTACTTTTAACTTTTTTGTCTTTGGATCTAATAAGAGTATCCTGTAGAGATCCATAATTGGATCATGAGTTTTGGGGTTTCTTTTATCCATTCTTCCAGGCTCTGCATTTAATTGGTGAATTTCATACTTTTACATTTAAAGTGATTACTAATAAGAAATTACTTCCTTTTGTGCCATTTTGTTATTTTTGTATTCTGTAGTTAAGGGTATAATCACTTAAGAGTCAATTAGGTAAAGTTGGTTGATAGTGATATTCAAATCTTTTATATACTTACTGATTTCTTTTCTGATTTACAGATTCTGTCAATTAGGAGGAGAGAAAAAAATGTTAGTTTATCAAACTATGACTGTGAATTTGTTCTCCCTTTGGTGCTGTCAGTTTTTTGCTTCATGTATTTTGAAACTTTGGTGTAAGGTAAACACACATTTAAGACTGTTATGAATTTTTAATAAATTGATCCTAATATCATTGTCTTTTTCTTCAAAAGACTTTGTCCCAAAGTCTACTCTAATATTAATATACAGCAACACTAGTTTTCTTCTGATTTTTCTATCTTTTTCATCCTTTTGCTTTCAGCCTGTACCTCTAAAATGTTTCTTATAGATGGCACATTTTGGCCAAGCCATTTTATCCCATCTGACAATTGCTAGCTTTTGAGTGTATAGCCTACTAACAGTTAATGTAATGATTGACATAACTGATTTTAAGTCTAATATCTTAATATTTATTGTCTATTTTCCTTATCTGTTCATTCCTCAGTTCCTGCTTTCTTAACTTCTTTTTGGGAAAGCAATATTTATTCAATTTTCTT